CAGGGTATAACAATCTCCTTCAAATGTGACACAAACCTCTCTGGATTTTAGACCTGGCAGTGAACTGACACAATTCTGGTATTTCGCTTCCACAATGCCTTTAAGCCCTCGAAATACTGCTTGCACACTTACAAATATTGGTGATGCTTGTTCACCCAATGCCTGCCACCCCTGATGACTACAGGAGAAATGGGTGGCAAAGCGTCCACTGCTCACCTGGAGTGACCCCCAGCCCTTGGCCACTGTCCCTGTTTGCACAGTGTGGAAAATTAACTGTGTGGCCCCCACAGCCCAACACCCAGTGCATCCGAAATGGGAGCTTGAGCAAAGCTAAAACTAAATGTTTCATCTGGAGAACCAAACCCAGACATGAAGAGTGAGGACAAGAGAAATGAGAGCAGCGGGGAAGGAAACAGTGGGACCTGTCACAAGCCCGCCCGGTAATCATTCACAGAACTGTCACTCACAGGGGCTCAAGGGACACTTCCCGAGAAATGTTACAGGAAGACCAAGCCTTGCGAGAGAGAGGAAAGAAGGGTAATTTATCTGCGGCCTCCTCCTATCATCTTTCTCTCGCTGATCAAAATGTACCCCATGGAAATCAACCACCACACACATTCCACTTGTGTCCCCTGAGGCACTGCCGATTTGCTGAGGAGGACAGATCTCTCATCTAGCAGCAAGAGCCAACAGAGACCGGAAGTGGGAGGAGGAGCCAGGGAACTCGGTCACTAGCCTCTGGAGATGAGACCACTTTTGCCCATGCGGACACAGTCTCTGTAAGCTGGGGTGGCTGAGGTGTACACGGGCCCAGGAGAGACCTGAGAGTATTAGAGTCTGAGATTGCATCTTGCCTGGCTACAGACACCCACAGAAAGACAGACTCCTTGAAGAACATGGCTACCTAGGACAGTACTTCACTGCCCACTGTGCTGCGGTGAGATCCTCCTTCTCCTCTACCTCCAGCCATCCCCAGGAAGGGCTGCCAGGACAAAACCACTGCACCAGAGAAAAACAGTATGTGGCCCACTGTGGCAGTCAACTGGCTCCACATGGGGCAGCAGGACTCCTCAGGCCTTGACGGCTCGCTGCTACCTGCCTACCCTGCCGTGGACTGCTTTTCCTCTGCCCCGCCACCCTGCCTTGGAGTCAGCTGATCCAAGACTAAAATGGCAACCAGCTGTGTGCCAGAATAAACTTCTCCTTTAACTTGTGAGTATTCTCAGTTATGGTTTGTGTCTAGTGTCCCCCCAGAGCCTCAAGCAGTCTTGGGGTGGCTACAGGAGTTTGTGATTGATTGCTGCGTGTGCGGATGCTGCACCCGCCCTGGGGCAGGTAATCTGCATTACGATGCAAGGAGGGGAGAGAGGCTGGCTGCTTGAGCTGCTGCTGCTCCTCCTTTTGTGCTCTTGCTCTTTGCTGCCACCACGAAAGGCTGCTTTCTGCCATGTGCTGCTCTGCCTGGACCAGCTGAATGAGGACTGAACCCTCCAGTGACTGTGAGCTAAATAAACCTTTCCTTCCTTCATTTTGGGTGTCAGGTATCTGTCCCAGCAACGAGAGAACAGTAACTGAGACACTGTCCCAGCACTGAGGCACCTTAGAGGATGTGAGCACCGACCCATGTGCAGCGCAGGCTGTTCACTGCTTCAGGGGCTCGCACAGGTCACTGCGCAGGGACTTGGTAAGCCTGCCTCCTCGAGACTCAGCTCACTGCTGCTTGTGTCTCCGTCATCCTCCCAAACCTGTTCAGAGGGAAGGGACTGGGGTACATTTTCAGAATTCCCACGTCCTCCTATGTTTTGATATTTTGATATTTTAAAAATGTTGGCCATGACATTCAACTAAAGATTAAAGAAAAATAAATGGAATGAATTGGCTATTTGGGCCCAACCGTAGCCCTCCAGAGCTCATTAAGTTTCTTATCCTGCTGGCTGGTGACATAACTCTTTCCACAAGGCACCACACTATAGGTGTCTGGATTGGAATTAACTGGTTCTGTTCAAAGAACGGACAGTTACTTGATCAGCTTACTTAGCATAAATGGCCGGACATTTTAATTTATTCTGTGGGAGCCACTCCTGGCATCCTAAGGACAAATTTGGTCATGGTTTGATCTAAGGGAGCAGAAGCACACACAAGCTGGATAGCAGTTGCTGTATTTCAGTGCCCAGAAGAGAGACGTCTGAATGAACTTTATGAATATTTCTGATAGAAGCCTGCAGAACTGCAGTGGGAAAGGGCCTGAGAGCTGTGCTGCACGGAAACGCGCCTCAAGGCGGGAAGTTGCTCTTTGCTCAAACCCGCTGGCTGGATGTTGGCGCCCCTTTTATTTATTGTCGAGCCAGACCTTGTGTTCTAATTAATGTGATGACCCTCCTTCTGGCCTCACATCACTCGCTGCATATCTGCCTTAGATATTCAAAGGCCTGAGAAGTCCCAGTTCACTTTGGGTTCCTTAATTACTTTTTCTTGCATTGTTGCCCACTGTGAATGGGCTGAAGAGATTGGTAAAGGTTTTACTCTGCTGCTTGCAAGTCTTCTCTCTTAGTGGTTGATGTGTAATCACTAAGCCAGGCGTAGTGAATTCTTTTTTCTAAAGTCTGGGGAAAGTTTCACAATTTTACTCAGACTTCATAATATTTTTTTTTTTTACCTTAGCATCCCTTTTGTATGCATGGAGATGACTTTGAGAGGCGTTCCCATATGCCAGCTGATCTGGGATACTTTCCTCCTTTGGGTTTTAAAACAGTCGCTAGGTGATAAAGGAGGCAGGTGGAGACCAGCCGTGTTGTGTGCGGCACAAAGCCCGAGGCTCCTCACCTGACAGCCACCACGTTGTGTGGTGAACGGAAGGCCTTCTCTCTGAGACGTCCGCCACGGTCCACTATGTGAGAGTGGAGCGACCCAACAGTCGCGTACTCACCGCGTACTCCAGCCACAGGTCTTCTGTGGTCCCCCGCTGGGGATGTCTTTGCCTGTTTGCAAGCCGTCGCGTCTTTGAAGCACTGTCACACGCCTTTAGTGTTTATAATATAATGAAAGAGGGGAAAAGATGTCAAATGACACGATAGAGAAAAAGGCAGAGCAAACCAAAAACGAGTAACACAAAGAGACACTTAAGGCAGTGCGTGTGAACACATTAGCAGCTATAAGCGTAGGGCGATCAGCTTACGCAGAAAAGCAAGAACCAGTTATACGATACCTATAAGCCAGTTACCACGAATATAAAATCTAACTGAATTTTCGAAGTCATGCCAAACAAACAGTAAGCCTAAGAAGGCTGGAGTGGTTTTCTTCATAGTGAATAAAATAATTATAACAAAGGAGGTGACACCAATAAGTGGGCCATTTTGTAGTAATAAAGCAGTCAATACATCATAATAAATGAGTAAAACATAAGACAGTTTCAAAATACATAAACTGGCAGAAAGGAAGACAGTGGATATTCCAGTCACAGAAATTCCCCCCCAGAAATGTGTCAGATAATTAATAATTTAAAGATACAGAAGATAGGTGAATCACTACTAACCACCACGATCAAACTGTGTGCATAAAATGTAGATCTACACAACTCTCAAGAAGTTTCAGGCATGTGAAGTACATTCAAAAGATAGAGCCATACAGATGAGCCATGAAATTGGTTGTGCTAAAATTCAGCAATTAAAATCATATGCATAACAAAAATAAAATCATCATTAATAAGCTCCATAGGAAATATATTTAGGGAAATTAATCTGCTAAATAGTACATATGCAAAAGAAGAAATTACAAGAATAATTAGAAAATATCTTAGATAAATAATAAAAATATTAACATTTATATACAGAAAAACCTTGTTTTATAGGAATAATTCATTCCAGAAACATACATTTAATTCAAAACATTAGTATATCCAAACAAATTTTCATGTAAGAATGATGGAAACTCAGGTGATTTGTTCTACAAACCAAAACATTCACATAAAAATTGTTATAGTACTGTAAAAAAATAAAATAAAGAATATAAATATACAGAAATACAAAATACATAGAAAATGTACAATATAAGGAAAAACAAAGTAGCCTGCTCTTACCCCGAAGAGCTTCCTGGCCTGTGTGGGTGACACCAGAGAGGAGGCCGCTGTGAAGGAGAATTGCACTGTCGCTGGTGGAATCACTTCTGTCTACCGGCTCCACGGAATCTTATTCTTTTCCTGCAGATTTAACAGGGCACCTATCCAATGCCACTTGCTTTTCCTTCCTTTAAAGATCTTGTGGAAACGTGACAATGCATTGTTACTAAACAGGCCCTCTGTTCCACTGCAGCAGCCCTACTGGGGCAGGGCTTTTCCACAAAATCCCGCACTGTTTCCCACCTTTTACACGCCTCCCTGGCTGTATTTTTTTTTTTTTTTTTTTTTTTTTTTTGCTCCCCAAATGCGATTTATTTATTTATTGAAGGAACAAAAGAACACACTAGTGATCACATTAGGAGTTAACATTTAATTCATTTCATCATGTAGGTATATAGTAAAAATTGAAACCATATATATTATTAAAAATCCAGGAGTATTTAAATAGTTATCATTGAACAACAAATATCTTCAAATTGGTACTTACATATTTGTTGATCTATTTTCTGTTGTACATTTATTCATATAGAACATTACTGATTGCATAATCTAATTTTTGAATGAAAACAGAAACCCTATAAACATTTGTCATCATCAAATTAGGTCTCATTAGAAATCCAAGAAATAAGCTTAGATACTTGAAGCAAACATGATTATACAACTCTGTAAGTCATATACATAATTTTGAATTATGATATTGTAAACAAGACTATATTGTATTACCTTTTTTTACAAAATGATCTTTAAAGGGTAATAAAAGTTATAAAATAGGTCTAGAAAAATTTAAATAACAATACTACTTTCTATAAATGATCTTCAAGTTAGATTCCGATCAAGTGTTTATAGTATTACAAATACCAAATCATGCCACAGCACTTGGGATCTGTGTTCTTCAGGATGCCTTACGTCTCCCCATTGAAGTGTGAATTAAGGTGCCGGAGGAAATCCCCCCTGGACATAATGGACGGTGGGAAAACTGCTTGACAGAATTCACACACTCGAGGTACTTGCAGCTCTGAGTCGGAGTCGCTTTGTGCCAGTAAGTCACTATCTTGATTAGGAAAGGGGCTCCAAAGAGGCCGCTGTGGTCCTCGGATAGCTTTTCCTGGGGAATCCAGTGAGGGAAAAGGTGCACCAGATGGGTCCTGACGTGGGAATGTATTTACATATAATGCATTATGGTCTCCAGGTGGCAAACACAAAGCTCTATCCAGAGTTGTCCTCATGCAATTGTTTATATGATTTGAGGGTCTTGGTTTGTCAGTTGTTTTAAGGTTTTGTATAGCTGAAGCTATGGGATCAAGTCCCTGAATTTCAAATAAAGTTTCTTCTGTTTTAACGATGTTTCCTCGGTTGTCTCTGAGCTCCATATTAAATTTGTTTGGGCACACTGCCTCAGATGTGGCAGGGGCAAGGATGCTGGGTTTCTCTGTGGCGCTATGTAAGAAAGTTGAGTCACTGTCCATAGGTGGAAACTTGACATTGAATTTGGAAAGTGATTCAAAAGAGGTGTCTTCCTCGTCTCGACCTAGTCCTCTTGGTGCGACAGATGTAATACACGATGAACCTCTATTTATATCATCTTTAGCCTGAGGCTTAAACAGCGCTTCTTGTTTATCTGTTTTATCTGTACATTGTATAGGTACAGAGCACTGTGTTTCAATTGCAATGTCTGGTATATTAAGTTTGCTTAAGTGGTCCTTTTGTGCTTTTGCTAGCATACATATTCTATGAAATTCTTCTTTCAGAGCCCAAAAAGTCTTCTCTAAATTATCTCTTTCATGGGCTAAAGGACTGCCAGGACTCCTTGATGAAGTTTCTTTTTTAGGGGAAGAAACATCTTGTCTTCTGACCTTTGATTGCTTTTCTTTTGGTATTCCTGATTTGACTTGGTCATGTGGCTGGTCAAGAGTCAGATTATTTTCCCTGGTTTCACCATCATCAAGTGGAGGAACACAGGCATAACTGCTGTCTCGACTGGAATTCATAAGCAGTAACTGTGATTTTAGCTTGTCAATAATAGTTTGTTGAAGTGACAGCTGTTCCTGTTGCTCACGTATTCTCTGCTCATAGTTCTCAGTCTTTTGCTGTAATTCTTTCACTGCAGTATCTCTATCCATGCATGCCTGACGAAAGGCTTCATATGCTTTATTGAGTTGCTCACCAATATTTTTATCCATTCCTCTTTGTCCTTTAGCATTACTATGAAGGACGTAGTAAATGACAGGTCGTCTAGGGTCTCACGCGGCGGCGTCTCTTTTGCTCTTCCCGCCCGGCCGGGCCGCCCGTTCGCTCCTCGGCTCTGGGAAGTTAGTTCCTCAACTTCTCACTGACAGGCTATGATGACACCGAATCATGGATTCTGCCACGCTCACACCGCGGGTCGCGGGCCCCCGGCCGGGTAACTCCAACCGGAAGTTACTTTCCATTCCAGTTCAGAGGGCAGCGCCTGCGCGCCGAGCCAACTAGGCTCGCGCCGAGCCAACTAGGCTCTCCCTGGCTGTATTTGAAGTGAAGGATTTCACTGTCTTCTCCTCTGGAGATGAGGTTTCCTCCATAACCTGTTGCTGGTGGGAGAGGCTCACTCACGTCATGTGACGTTCAGGAGCACGCACACCTCAGATTGCAGGATGTCACTCATCTCTCAGGTTAAAGTTTATTAGACATACTTACTCTTCTTGCAGAACACCCGCGGAACAAGTGACTCGCAATGCAATGTTTTACTGTGTTGCCATTTGTGTGAAGCAGTAGAGCCGTGCTCAGAAGATCTGTATTTGTAAGTTATTTTTCCAGAAAGTAAAGTGAGTCTTAAATCCATATCCTATGGGCCTACTTGGAGATGATTTGGAGAGTGAAGTAGATGTGACACAAAATAGAAGAAGATAAAATGCCAAAGGAAGAGTACATATCTGTGAAAGAAAATGAAGGCTGTACCCGATTAGGGAAAATTATTGTCAAAAATAGTATATAGATAGCTAACCTCAGGGTGAAATGAAATGTCAGGAGAAGAGATTCTCACTACAGATCACACAGAAACTCAAAGGTAACAAGAAGTGGTTATAAATACTTACTGGTAATGAGGCACCAACATGTTAGATATAATGCACCGATTCCTTGACACATAAGCCTTGACAGGACTAGCACAAAAAAATTTAAAATTCGGGGGAAGAAACAATAATTTTTAAAACTTTTCCATAAAGAAAACATCAGTCCCTGCTTATTTTATCGTTGAACATAAAAGAAGAAATAGAAATATTCTTATAATACATTCTCATGAAATGAAGGGAGGTTTCCGTCCAATGCACGTCTAGATGTTTCCCAAAGCCTCGTACAGCCATGAGGGGAAGATTTATCATGGGTGGATGAATGTAGAGCTTTGATTGATTGATGGTCCAGTGCTGAGATTAGGGGTGTGCATGTTATACTCATGCTAGTGAAAGTGACTTGCATACAATATAAAGAACAGAAAGTCCTCTCTCTCTCTCTCTCTCTCTCTCTCTCTCTCTCTCTCTCTCCTTTTGCTGTCTCCATGAAACACTGCCCTTTACCACATGCCACCCTGCCTTGGCACCAGCTGATTATGGACTAAAACTTCCACAAACTGTGAGATACATAAGCCTCTCCCCTGTTAACTTTTGGGTGTTGTGTAGTTTGTCTCAGCAATGAGAGAAAAGTAAGTAAGACAGTCTCCAATTGTGTGTTATGAGGTACCCTGATACCTAAAATATATTACAGAAGAGGAAACAAATCTTACTGATCATGTGTCTTGCATTTATATGAGTAAAAACTTTTTTTCAAAGACACAGATTAAAAAAAAACACATAATACATTAAAACATGGATGCAACTTTCATATTCAGTCATATGGGATTGTGTTTACACACTGCCCTCGTTAACTAGTAAAGTGTACAAAATACCACAGGAATTGGTAAAAGGAGGAGGATTCCAGTCTGGGAGGGAAGAAAAGTAACCTGGACTAACCAAGCATTGACAGCTGACTATCTGAGACGCAGCCTCCAGGTTATACAGAAGAAGGAAACCCACGCAGCTGGCCTGCGGGAATCAGGAAGTCACCTACCAGGCTTTGGGAAGGAGGAAAGTGGACAGGATTTGTAGGATGAAGTAAAGAAGAGAAGAAAAATGTCAGGAACAACTTTGGGTCTGTGCAGAAGGCTTCCTGCCCTGTTCAAGCAATGATGTAGGCACATAAGAAGAAAATATCCAAAATGAGACACAAATCATAAGAAAAGATTAGGCTGAGCGATTTCTGAATCGCTCTGTAACCCATGGGGAAGCTCCTCAGCTCACACTGACTAGTCCTCAGGAAAGTGGTTATGGGCTTGTTAGAAGGAAAACTTCACCCTGGACTGAAGGATTCCTTGGACCTACTGGAAGAAAACTCCACCCCTGCACCCACCCTAAGGAAGGCAGAGCAGGCAGCGAGAACTTCTGAGTGAATCAAGCGTATGGCAGAACAAAACTTACAGTATATTCATGAAACAAAGCCAAGTAACAAGCAACATAAACCCCTCATGTCTGCCATCCAATCAAGATTTATGGGTCATGCAAAGGTGGAGAAAAACATAATTCACAAACAGTAGTGTAGTCAATCTATAGAAAGAGACCCATAAATGACCCAGATGATAGATCCAGCAGGGGACAAAAGTAATTAGGAACAGGCTCCATATGCTCCAGGAGGTGGAGGAAAATATGAATATCATGAGGAGATAAATAAAATGAATTTTTAAAACTGAACAGAACTTCCAGAAAGAGCAGGGCTATGTTAGAATTGAAGAGCAAGTACACTGTAATGAACAACAGACCAGACCCTCCAGAAGAAGCGGCTGGTCAAGTGGAAGATGTGGCAGCAGAGAAACTACTTATGTAAAGCAAAGAAATAAACTGAGATGCAAATTATAAACAGGTCATCAGTCCCGTGTGAATATAGCAATGTGTATCATTGAAGGAGAAGTTTCTCAGGAAATAATGCCAAACATTTTGTTGACCCAGACTGACCCCCAAAGTTGAGATGATTAATCACTAGAAGGTCTGAGCTGATGTAAAGGCAAAATAAAGTTCTCCAGATCAGAATAAAATCACATTGGCAGGAAATGTGAATATATGGAAAGCAACAGAGGCAGAAAAGAGATACGTGTGAGTAACACATATACCATAGTTTCATTCATATGTTAAAATATATGTGACGTATAAAAATGTGAGTCATGCGTGGGACAATTCTATATGATTTTTTCATTTACATATGACATCATTCCCAGTGTTTTACTTTTAAAGGATAGAGAAGTCTTCCAGCTGTTGTGGGGGGGCTGAAGAACACCCTACATGTACACATACACACACAAGCACACTCACACACAAACAAAACACCATATAAGGTGTCAGAACCATGACATTTCACGTGCTGGGAATTGACAAAAGGCAAGCAGAGCTTGGGCCACACAGTGCTAGGCCCAAATGCTCCCCGCCTTCTTTTCTTCTCCTGGCCTCAGTGGCCAGAGCAGTATCGTATTAGTGCAGAGCTGGTGACCAACCAGAAGGATAACCTAGGCCTCAGGTGGTGAACAAACAACCAGAGACACAGATCAGCGGGAGCACAAAGCCCCGAGGAGGATTAGGAAAAGCTCTCAGCTCCACAAGGCTGAGGCCTGCTCCATTTGCAGCAAGGAAGGGCAGCCAGAGGAGACGTGGGAGGAGGCCGGAGCAGGTAGGGCTCTGCAACTCCTGCTGTGGGCAAGAGCACCAATCGAAAGGCATAAAGAGAAGCCTAACAGGCGGAATGGCTTAGATTGCAATGAAAGCCTGTGGTGTGCATCCGTGTTCCAGCTCCACCACACACAGCAGCAGACGCTGAGCATCTGTGGGTTCCGGACGTGCAAGCGCAGCCTCTAGGACAAACAGGGATTAAGATGCAGCCAACAGCCATGGCCTAAGCTGGCCTAAAACTAGAAACAAGAATTCAAAAACAGCCCAGAGATCACTCGCAAACACCAGGCAAGAAGAACAACTTTCTCAGCAAAGGTACATGGGAATTTAAAAAGGAAAATCAAAACTCCAAATTTCTGCAACAGACACCTGAAATAACTAGTTTCCAACAACAACAAAAAAAGAAAAAATTAAGAGATACACTGTCATGGTTTGTGTATAGGTTCCCCCCCCCCAAGCCTCAGGTAATCATGGGGCAGCTTCTAGAGATTGTGATTGATTACTGTGGGTGTGGATGCTGCACCTGCCCAGGGGCAGGTAATGTGCTTTAGCAGAACCTGGATGGGATGAGGTGCCAGCTAGCTACTGGGGCTGCAGGCTCTCCTTTTGCTCTGTGCTTTTTCCTGCCATCATGAACTGCTGTACTCTGCCACATGCTGCTCTGCCTTGGAGCCAGCTGAATACGGACTGAAACCTCCAGTAAGTGTGAGCTAAATAAACCTTTCCTTTCTTCATTTTGGGTGTCAGGTATTTGTCCTAGCAACAAGAGAAGAGTAACTGAGACAGAATTTGGTACTAGAGAAGTGGGGTCATTGCTGTGGCTAAACCCGATCACGTGGATTTTTTGAATGGCTTTTGTGAATAGCTTATGGGAACAGATAAGAAAGGTTTGGAGATGTTGCCTACTTAAGAAGAGCTTGAACTGCTTCCGCTGTTCTGTTTGGGAGATTCTGCTCAAAGCTCAGAAGCCCAGAAGGCTGATAGAAAGCCTGCCTATAAAGACCAGGCTGGGGAGGTTTCTGCTGGGAAGAAGGATTGCATTGGTTATTTCGGGCTTTGGATGATTTGGGTTTTGGCTTGGAGGAAAGTTTGTCTGAATTTTGCTTGTGTCCAGAGACTTTGCCTAAGATTGAGATTAGGCATGGTGGACTGATTAATACTTCAAAAGAAATTTCAAAGCAGCCAAATATTGGAGGAGGGGCATGGCTATTGTTTGGGGCTTTTAGCCAGATTTATGTTGAGAATCAAGAATGAAGAGCTCAGCAGGATGATTTAAAATGTTGTGAGTTTGGCCAGAAAGGAAGTTCCAATAAAGCTGTGAACTGCAAAGATGGAGCTGAGAGTATCTCCACTGCTGGGAAGGAACAAGAGAATGGAAAGGATGGCCTGAGGGCATCACAGGAGGTGACAGGTCTCCACCCTTTGCAGCCTCAGAATTGCAAAGGTCAGAGACTTGGCCTCGAGGGGAAAGCCGCAGAGGCCCATGTTCCAGAATGGGGGCAGCGGCCACACCAGGTTCCAGAATGTCGCTGGCATGGAGAATTTGTTCCTCGGAATCAGGGTCAGAGTGCTCAGCAATCCAGGCACTCTATACCTAAAGCCAAGAGAGAAGCAACCTGCCTACTGCGCCAGCTGGCAGCAGACGTTGGCATCACCCATGTAGTATTGGTTTTAGGTGCATTCAGAATGCAAGAGTTCTGAGGTTAAGAAAGCTTCCACCTCGACCTCAGAAGAAGGCCT